TCCATCACATGCACATGTCTGACACTAATAACCTGTGTGGATTTTTACTTAGGTTGCATTTTCAGAAATACATGTTTTCTTAATTAGCACTTTATCTAGTCTCCTGTTCTGGCTTAAGAGCAATCTTGGGTTTCAACATATAGATATTATAAATAACTGAGTGGGTTTGGCATAAAGTATAACTCTACTAATCAACTTTAAAACCTCGGGTTGCTCCAAATCCTTTTTTCTTCTCAGCATTGGCTCTGGTTGTGTGTTATCCCGGTTCTAGCCCAGAGAGGGCCTAAAAAGGTAAAGCTGACCCTGAATCACTGAAAATACACGGCTTTTATTTTATGGTACACAACAGGAGGGGAGGGGACAACAATCAGTGAAATATGGGTGTTAAACAGAGGAACAGCATCAAGCTATTTAGCAATGGCATCCAAAAAGAGACGGACACTGGATGTACAGTAATTTTATTTTATTTTTAGGCAACTCATGAGAACATTATTTACAATACCAGGCTGGCACTGGGAACAAATCTGGTCTCAGATCAGGGAGCTGACATTTAAGAAGCTCAGTTTGGACCTTTCCTTCAAAAAAACAATTACTAAAAATAAGTGATTTTTTCAGCAGAGCTGTGACCTCAGCTAAATGAAATAATGGATCTGTTGAAGGGAAAACAATCTCTACTTGAATGATGAAAGTGCATCTCCTAACTAAAGCTTTTTGGCATGAGAGCAGGTGAGTTGTGTTCACCTTCCACTTGTATAACTTCTTCACCACTGAAGTCTGGTTTAATAATACAGTCTAACAGGTATAGCTCTTTAATTGTAAATCTGATACACTTCCCTTAAATCAATATATTCAATATTTTACTGATAGAGTCGAGAAACACTTGAAGCCTAATTTACCAAATGTCAGTGTAAGCCATCAAGTTTGTCAAGCAGCAAAAAGTGCGCAACCACAGCCAAGTTCTCCTCAGCAGAGATGCGTGGAGTTGGCCCTGCTGTGGAAATTTGGACACCCAGAGGACAGAATGATGTACGGTGAAAACAGAGAGGGCAGAGACAGGCAGTGATGTCAAGATATAATCAGGCTTTATTACTGGAGTCTCTGAAACTTAAAATCATTCAAACGTCTGGTCTCTTTGATGTTTAGCTCCATGCATCCATCAGTCCATCCCTTTGCCACTTAGTCCATCTGACTTCTACCTCCTGCTCCCTCCTCATCAGTCTTCCAGCGCCAGTGTGTTGAGTTCTTCATCGAGCTCCTCCAGATCTTCTCCCGTGAACAGGTTTTCATCTACCGGTACTTCCTCTTCCTCTTCCTCTTCATCCTCCCCTCCTCCGTCCTCCCCTCCGCCCTCTTCCTCTGAAAGCCCGTTGGCCTCGGCGCCACCACAAGCTCCGTTCAGCTGTTCCTCTGCAAGCAGGAGGGGAAAAAAAATGCTAATCACACAGCTGACGTTTGTTCATCAGAAGTAATGTGTTTGTTCTCTTACAAAAAA